AGAGCAGCAGGGAAGGATGCTGGGGTGGGAAAAGAAAAAAAAGGGAAAATCCCTCAAAACCGGATTTTTCTGCACTTCTGTCTCCAGTCCAGACATCTCTGCAGGCACTGGTGTGCCCACAATGGAGTGTGGCAACATCCAAAACTGTCCTCATTCCTCAACCTGCCCTGCTGCAGCAGTGAGAGCTTGTGTGACCAGGGCACAGGCTGCAGCCTTGCTCCCCCTCATCCCTCAAAGCAGGCGCTTCACTTGGTACCTCTCATCCTTTCCTTGCCCTGCTTATGCTCAGCTGATCGTTAGCAAACAGGCTCTGAGTCCTTTCAGTGTTGGTGTGACTCAAAGACTGGGAAGGAGGACGGGACACACCTTTTCCATGAAAAGCCTGCTGCTCGCTTGAAGCCGGGGAAGTTGCTGCTTGAGCGTTTCAGACTCATGATGATCACAGATTCACAACTGCAGCTTCACAGGGCTGAGGTCACATGTGAGAAGCACTAGGGCATATGCTAGTGCTGTATATAACCCTGGCTGCCCCTAACTCTCCAAGGATGCTGTGTTGGTAGATTTGATGTGCATCAGAGATTCCACTGTGCTGTGCAACCCGTGTTGGAGCATTTCCATGGTGCATTTCCATGACTCACTAGTCGTGCCAGCTGAATCATCTGTGACACTACTATTTGTTTTCTTGCCATGGTGCAGAAACATCCTCTTCTTCCCTTTCTGTGGAACAGTTCTGACAGTAGCCCTTGCAAACCAGAAGGGATAGGCAGAAAGAGCCAGAAGTCAAGGTTTCGGACAGTGGTGCCCATCCTCCTGCTCTTTGCAGGTTGTTTCACCTGCTGAATGTTAGCTCCAGAGGATTCTGCTTCAACTGCTTTTTGCAGACACCCACTCGGCATTAGGCCTTACCTACACTCAGCTGTTTTCCAAGTTTGGAACTAGTTAGCAATGTTCTTGCCTCTGAGCATGGTTTGTATCTGCACAGTAATACTTGTTTCGTAACCATGGCAGCTCACAGTGACTCATGCTGCCAGAGGCCTGGGCCAAAGTTAGCAGAAGGCTTTTTCTTCTTTCCCCTTCCATAACCAGCTCAGCACACTCTTGTGTTGTTAGATCTTCTCCCCACAATTGCATAACTCACCCATCACGTTCCTCTGGCTCTGTGCTGGAGACAATCCCCAGACACACTGCCCTGCTTACCGCCAGCTTCACCCTGTGTGTGTGCTCACTGGGAGCTTTGCTCTGCTGGAGTTTCCCTTGAAGGCTCTGAGGTGGTTACCCAGAGCGGTTAATGAAGATTGTGCAGACCTAAGATGTTGTGAACATGCTACACAAGAAACTGAAGAGGTCTTTGCCATGGCCAGAGGAGGACTGTGCTGACAGACCTGATCTGAAGCTTGCTGTTGCCTTCAAGAGCCCTTTGGGGAGCAAACAGGGTTCCTACAGTTCCCTGAAACATATATGTTACAAGACCTATTCCTGCCATATTCCAGCATCCAGCCATGGCTAGTATAGGGTAAAAACCCGTTCTACCACGTCTGAGTACCTCCTCCTGCAACAGGTTGCACTTGTAGTGGAGAAAATGAGGATTTGCCAGCGACAAAGTCAACCTAGTGGCTTGGTAGGGAGGAAAGAGGTTTCTTACAAAGGCTGGTATTCCACCAGGCTGAGCCTTCCCAGGCTTTTCTCGTGTGGGTATGGTGATTCCAGGGCTCATGAGTGGCAGGGGAAAGTCTGACATGTCAAAGTTTCCAAGTACAGTAACTCAAAATCCCTGCATTTTCCCTTCAAGCAAGGCTCATCTTTTCACCTGGGATGTCTCAGTTTTGGTTCTTCTCTGATAATTCCTTAAGTCTTCAGCAAAAGGTGGTAAGAAAATGTTGGATTCAGAACAAGAACCCCACGTAATCGGCAGCAGATTCATTAAAGTTTCAATTCTCATGTTTCAAAGCAACATCAGCCTTTTTCCTGCATGATCTTTCAGCCTGTCTTCTTGTGACAGGAAGGGCTTAAGAGATCCCTGTTATTCAGATGTGTTTATTGATATGTTTTAGCACTTGAAGCAAGCTTTGCCTCTAGAAGGCTCACTTGCACTCACCTTCATTTGCATCTATTATTGGCAAGTTGAAAATGTAGGATAGAGCACAAAGCACTTGCTGACGTCTAGCAGCACAGCCCTGCTATTGCAGCTGCTCTCAGGGCTGAGAAACACCAGGTAATACTGTGAGAGCTACGTGCTAGAGAAAACCCAGATCCATCTCCAACAGGCTCCAATCAGCTTGTAGCCAGACACACACACACAGAGTCTATTTGCAAACCAGACTGCACTGTCAAGTGCATGATCAAGATAACATGTTTGTTTTGTGCGTGCCGGGGGAGAGATGAATGAGCAAACACAATGCAACACATCTGTGCACATATGTTATATAGGGCCAGCCAGACTCAGACCCCAGCCCTCAGTGCTCCTTGCTTGCCTTGCAGCATGGCAGAGGAGTTGGAGGTAAAGCATCCCAAAAAGCATCCCTGGCCTTTGGGTTATACGCTTAATGTATCTTAGATATATACAGATTAATCTCTCCAAAGGCACAATGGCAGGCAGGGAACACCATTAACCTAATCAAGGAACAGAATGGAGCTATCAAACAGAGGTGACACCTATCCCAGTGAGTCACCACAAAAGTTCTCTGGCTCTTCTTACAGACAGAGCTGTGCTGCATGGGGGACTCCTTACAAGCTTTCATCCTAAAGAGGCAGAGAAAGATTGAACAGGAACATAAAGTAGTGCTCAGAGGAAAGAAGCACAAAGGAAAAGCTCATAAAATTATAGAGAAACATGTTCTGAGGAATGAGAGTCAGAGGAAAAGCTTCTAAAATTGGAGACAAGTGGCTTTCTGGAAAAAAAAAAAAAAGAAAAATGGAAGAAAAGGAAGAAAGCTCCCAGGGTAGTAATAAGAGAATATAGATGTGCTTTCTTATTTTGCAGAAAGCTCCCTTTACACCTCCCAACCCCACTGGGTAACGGCAGTTTGGTTATTTCCAGCAATCCCCCATCCTGCTCTGTGTTCGAATGTTCCTGTCGGAACTGGTCAAAGTGTTTTAACTGATCACATCCCCCCCCCCCCCCCCCCCTTCTTCCCGAAAAGAACTGTGTTTTCACACAGAACAATCATTGTGACAGAAAGGGTAGTGTTGATCAGAATCATTTGTAGTGTGAACAAAGAGTCCAGTGACAAATACCAGCATATTTGATTTCATCTTTGTTAGGACAAAAGTCTTAAGTTTGTTTAACCTTCTTTTCTGCAGAAAAGGAGCAAGAAGGACAGAAAGAAAGGAAAGGGCTTCCCCCCTTCCTGACCCAACTTCACAGTTATTTCTCTCAACTGTGATTATTTCATCCATACAATACTGGTTTTCTCCACCCACTTTTTTAGGGAAGTGCCTCCAATAACTTAGTTTCCAGTCAGATACCCAAGAGCTGTTCCCTGACCTCATTATCCCAAGGAAAACGATAACGTTGTCCTCCTGCTTCCGCTGGGAGCTGTTCCATCCAGCCACACGGGGGGACACCCATGTTACACCCAACTTGCTCTTGGAGACCGTGGGTCCCAGCCAGAGACCTCTGAGTGGGCTCAGGGGGAAACCTGAACATCTGGAGCAGCTGGCAGTGATGCAGAGGTGAAGCTGTGGCTGATGCCGTCAGGAGTAGACGGCAGGTGGCACCCATGGATTAGCGCAGGGCTTGCTCAGGGTGAGCGTGAGCCTGGCTGAGCAGTGCCTGCAGCTAGGGCTTGGCTTCATCTGGAAGAGCAGAACAGGGATGTGTAGATTGCATGCAGAGACATCTGTGTCCTGTGGGGGGTGGCCTGGGGCTATCACACATAGGTCATTCAGGACAAGGGTTTTAAACTGAAAGAGGGGAGATTTAGATATGAGAAATAAATCTGTTACTCTGAGGACAGAGACACTGGCACAGGGTGCCCAGAGAAGCTGTGGCTGCCCCATCCCTGGCAGTGTTCAAGGCCAGGTTGGACACAGGGGCTTGGAGCAAGCTGCTCTAGTGGAAGGTGTCCCTGCCCGTGGCAGGGGTTGGAGCTGGGTGAGCTTTAAGGTCCCTTCCAACCTAAACCAGGCTGGAGTTCTGTTAGCCTGTGAACTTGGCCTTGGCCAAGGGATGCTCACAGCAAGTAGGGTTGTTGTACCAGGAAGCACCAAGGACAGTGCTCCCTAAGGCAGGGGGAAGCAAGGGGACATGATGGCTAGCAGGGATGGAGCAGCCCTAAGGTACCTGATTAAGGAGGGCAGGAGGCAGCCAGGAGCCACAGTCTTCAGGCATGTTCACAGCAGTAAGGTAGGCTTGAGGCCAAGCTGAGAAATCAGCCCACAGCTCAGGATCAATTCTGGTGGATCAACCAAAGTCAGACACAGCCAGGACAATGCCCCAGGCAGGTTCAAGGTGACAAAACAGACCTTGATTTAAGGTGGAAATCAGTCTGGATCAGGATTCAGATCGATAGGACCCATAATTATGCACAGGTGTAGCTAGAGCTCAGCTAGAGGCCAGCACCCCAGGAGCACAGCACAAACAAGGATAGAGGGCCCTGGGCTAAGCTTAAATAGTCTGCAAAGCCCACAGGCACGTGTGGGTGTGAGTCCCAGGTGGGGCTGCTCAGGGCCATTGGCATCCTCAGGACTTGTCACCCAACCTGCAGGCATCAGTTGCTCAAGAGATAGATGAGCTTGTGCCATCCCCAAAGCACTGCACACTGTTTATTACATCAGGGGACACCTCAGTGAGCCGCATGGGTCCTCATCTTGGCGGTTAGAACTGGATGACCTTAAGGTCCTTTCCAACCCTAACTATTCTATGACTCTATGTATCTGTCTGTGCCACCCGGGCCCTCTGCTCTTCCCTGCTGAGCTCATGGTTCTTGGTCCCCGCTCCACCTCTTCCTAAAGGAGCACCCACATAGGGGCTGAAGCCTGGTTTGGGGGAGCTGGAGGCAGCCCAGTGACCCAGACATCAATGACAACTGTGCTATCATGGCTCACATCGACCGCAGCCTCTTGCTGCCTCCCCCCTGGGTCCGGCCGCACGCAGCCAACGAGGCAGAAATGCCGATGCCTTTCACTAAACGCTGATGATTAAAATGAAATGAAGAGCATCAGGATGGATCATTGTGGGGAGGACAGGGGGAAGTTCATTATGACTGACAGACAGCCTGTGGCAGCACAGATTGCTCGTGATAGTGCAGCGGGGACTGTGCATCACACGTGTGGGTATCGGATCTATTATACATGAGGGTTATTTTCAGCATCCCCTGCAGGTCATGCTTTACCAGCTAAATCAAAGCTAAAGGTATTAGCTGGCCTTTATGCCTTGTGGCAATTAGATTACAATTTTCTGAATGCCATGTGGTGCAGGTCAGATTGGACCTATGGGGTTTTCTATGATGAAGGTGGCCCTGCTCATTGCAGGGGGGATGGACTAAATGACCTTTGAAGGTCCCTTCCAACCTGTACTATTCTGTGATTCTGTTCTATGATTCTAGCTTCAAAAGATCTACTGGCTTCCTCTGATCAGGCTTTCTGAGATGGGGCTGTCTGTGCTGGCCTGGGCCACATTAATATAAGCTAATGATGTAATGGTTTACTAAAAGTGATTTGATGACACTTGAGGCTCCCTTCTCCCTAAAATAAACAGCAGTCATGAGGAAGGATTGAGCTCAGCTATGTAGGTACTAATAAGCTTTAGTGGCCTTGAGCAGCTTCACCTGGGAGCCCCACTGACCCTCTGCCCATTGCTCCATATAAGCTTGGAGCCAGGTAGCTGCTCTTGCTTTGAGCTGGTCTGTAAGTTAGTCTGTCTTAGCCTGGGCTGGACTTTCTGACATGGGGCCTATGTATTTTGTGTAGGTAACTCTGTTTTCCTGTCTCTAGATGGACCTCATCCAATCCAGTCATCTTCCCTGGGGCTGCTTGGTCCAGTATGATGCTCCCACTTGTGCTGTGGTTGCTTTTATCTCTTGGTTCAGTCCTATGCCTGTTCCTCACTGGCACTGAGGGAGTGATGGGTCTGTTGTTCACAGGCCAGCTTTTTTTTCCTGTATGGGTACCCTTGGTGTGGGGCCTGGGGGGCTGTCAGGAGCCTCAACCCCTTTGACTGAGATAAGAGCTATTCCTTCAGCTTCACTTTGTGCCTGTTGTGTATTGGTGGCTGAAGTGAGGGCTTGCATGTCCCCTTCTAGCAGGTAGGGTCTTGCTAGCATCCTGCCCTGGGCAATGCCAGGTCTGACCCTTGGTCTGCAAGGGGTCTGTTTTACCCCTTTCCCTGGAGGTAGGAGCTTGACCTCCTCATCCAGCAACATGGGCTCACCCAGTGTGACTTCAAGACAGCATCAGGGGAATGAAAAGAGCTGGTTTTTTGTGATGTATTTGGCTCTATCCCTCCTTGGGAGCTGGAAGAGGTGGGATGGAGCATGGGGCAGTGAAATCCTTTCAGAAACTCTGGAGTCGTGCACTGTGCAGATCCAGAAGCCTTCTCCCAGGTGGCTGGGGATGGCTGGAGTCCTTGAGTCACCTGAGTAGCTAAAAACCCTTTCATAACCCCCAGAACCTGGATTCAGGGCTGGCGCTTTGTTGGTCAGTGCCATGCCCTGCTAAGGCCTGGAAATGAGCAAAAATGGGAGAATTGGGGGTTTCTCATGGAGGCTTTAGGTTGGGGGTGTGTGTGTGTGTTGGGGATAATGTTTGGGCTTCAGACCTCTGGCATCTTTGAGAAACAAGAAAGCTGCTGTGGAAAGGGCTTGGGAAGAGCTTTTTGGATGCAGATGCAGAAAGTAAAGCAATTTCTGAGCAGAAGTGGTTTTGATTAATAAGAGAAAATGAGCAATGGGGGATGGCACTGAGTGGCCAGGGGCTCAGCTTCAGTGTCTCACCCCTATCTCACAGGGGAGGCTTAACTGATGGCAAACACTGTGGCTGATACAGAGTTAGAGCTCCTCCACCCTGAGCAGGGAGGACTTTTATAGCAGTGAATGGATGAGCATTGTGAAAGATGACTCTGATTCTTGGGGCATTGCTGGGTTAGATTGCAGTAAAATTGCAGCAAAAAGCAATTTGGCTTTAATCAACTCTATAACAAAGCCCCAGCATGGAAAAGAGCAGAAGGTATCACAAGATAGGAAACTGTCAGCGGTGCTGGAGCTGAAAGATAAGATTGTGCTCCCTATGGCTACACTAAAGGAAGATGAATTATCCATAGGGGCGACTCAGAAAGACAATAATGTACAATTAAAGTTGTTTGAATTACAGTTTCAGGGAAGCATGGGTGGAAGAAAAAGCCTATTTAAGTGGAAAGTCTGAAACCTCTTTCCCATGTACTTTCAGAAAGCAGAACTAGTTTAGGAAATAATAGATAAATCAGGCAGGGCAATGGCTGAAGAGGAGCAAAGGATGAGTTAAAAGGGACATTACAGAGGGATGTTGAGCATGAGGGGTGGATGGATGGGAAGTGAACCAGCTCTGAGTGTGCCAGGAGCAAGGGGAAAGGCTGGGGAAGCCTGAAGAGTGGCAGGAAGGCTGGGAATCTCATGTCCAGAGGCCCTTGCCAGCAGTCCTGGCTGGATTGCCTCCCAAAGCCTGCGGCTGGTGGGTGGTGGAGGATGGCTGTGCTCCAGCGAGGCTGGGATACTAGGAGCAGGGGTGGAACTGCGACCACGAGCATCTCTTCACCCTCTATCCCCTCTCCAGGTTCCATACACAGTGTTTTACCTTGTGGTGCTGGTGGGCTTTGGGAGTGGATTCCAGACTTCAGGCAAAGCTTGGTCCCGAGTTGTCTCCATTAAAAACAGCTGAGGAGGGTGCAGAGGTATGTGGTTATTTCAGGCTTGTGCTGACGTCTGGCCTTCTCCAGGCTTGGTTTAAGCACAGTGCAAACAAACCACAGGCTAAAGGGTTAAACAAATGCTGCATGAGGAATGTGTTTGCAGGAGCTCAGATAACTGTCCTGAAGCCACCTGCATTCCTGGTGGGGCTTTGCTTGGATCGGCCAGGGCAGGTAGGACCTGTGGTCATATCCTGCAGCAGGTCAGTGGGGTCTGTGCTGCAAACCTCCCCTAAGGCTCACCAAGCTGCTGCAGAACGTGGGGGAACAAACAGCTCATCTTCAGCTTGTCATGCCAACGTCTCTGCCTGGCTTCATGAGTGGGAATCTCTTGGTGGGACTGTTCCTAAGCAGGAGGCAGGATATTTGGGAGACAGTCGGTGTATCCTGTGCTGCAAGATCCCCTAAAAAGCTGTTGGTTCCTTTTGCTGTCCCACCAGCCAACTGTCGAGGGGGGCCCAGCTCCAAACAGATGGTGATGGGGAGGACTGGGATGGGGATAATGGTGTGAACATGGCATCTTTTATGTGATACACTTGACACGTTGCCATGGGACAGCTGCAGTTTAGGAGGCTAAAGAATCAGCTGCAGACAAGCTTTGTAGTGACTTGTGCAGTTGCCATATTCCCTTCCTTGCAGGCAGCTGCCTTGGAGGAAGAGGAGGAGGAGGATGATGGTGGTGGTGAGATGGAGGAGCTGCTTTGGGAAGGGCTTTTCTTGGAAGAAAAGCTCTGTTCTGTGCAGCACAAGGGTGGGCTCCAAAAACGTGTGGGTGAGTCTGGAGATGTGGTGCACTAGCACCCAGCTTCCTGAATCAGCTGCTCTGGGAGCAGCAGTGTGGAGGTTATTCCTTCCCAGGGCTTCATTTTCCTTCTGCTCATCCCTTTCCCACTGCTGTACTAACTCCTTCTCCCCAGTGACCTATCAGGACAGCTATGGCACCGATTATGGTTAGGATGGAGCCAGGATGTGTGCTGTGATGCCAGCTGGCTGCCACCCTGGGCTGTGAGTGCGCCTCTGACTCCTGCTTAATCTCTAACCAAGCTGGTAGGAACCCAGGCATCCCTTAGGCTTTGACCTCCTTTCAGACTTAGCTAAAGTTTTCTAAAGGGAGGAAGAGGGACAGTAAGCACTGTGATCATCACTTAGATTCCCTGGGAAACTGGGACTGAAAGGGATATTTGGAGTGTCTAAAGCAGAGACACTAACGGCATCATGGTCCCTTTACTTCAGGGGTGCTGCTGTGGTGTGGAGGGGTTGGGATGCTGAGCAGGAGAGTCTGGGCTGTGTGTCTGTCTGCAGCTGACAGCAGGCTCTGCCTTGGGAGCTCTCACAGCAGATGGTGAGCAGCAACCAGGGGGTGGAGGCTGCCAAGTGAGACCTGCTGTCTGTGCCTCTGCCAGGCCCTGCACGGTCTCTGGTGGGCATCTCCCACACAGGAGCTGAGGTCCAAAGTGCATTAGGATGTAATACAGTCTCTGGCTCCCTGCTGCTTACATCAAGTCAGCCCCAGGGATGATTAAGGTTCTATTTTGGGGGGAGTAGCATAAAGCTTTGCATTAGCTCAGTTGCACTCTGCTGTCGGGTCAGTCCAACTTCACATACCTTATGATGGTAAATAGAAGTGTTGAGTCACCATTAAGAGTCTGTGCAGCTTTCAGGCAAACCTGGTGTTCGTGTGGACACAGCATGTATCCCTTACCTTGTGTGTAAGTAGCTTGAATACCTAATGGACCAGGCATGGTTTGTTCTTCGCTGGTCTGAGATCTGAAGTTCTGCATGGCTGGGTTGTGGTGTCACTGCTTTCTTTGGGACGTGGTGACCCCATCCTGCTGTGCTGTGCTTCCACTTTGGCCCTGTGCAGGTATTTATTCTGCTTCACTTCCCTTGCTTGTGCACTTGAGGTTGGCTGTGGTGTTGCTGCTGTGCTCTCTACGTAGAGTTTGCTTATTGTTGCAGTCTGGACTGTTGGAGAAAACACCTTAAGGAAAGGCCTTAGAGATAAAACTTCCTTTTTTTAATGATAAATTGGTGAAAGTCCTGGTGAAAGCAATCTTGCAGAGGTGTTCCTGGGGAAAAGCTTTGTGACTTTTCCCTGATAAGAAAATACCTTACTAATGTTTACAGATCGCCTGCTCTGAACTGAATGAATTTCCTGGGAGGTGAGAATGCAATACATGCTTTGTAAGTGAGCCAGAAAGCCCTGTGCTCCCTGCCTGCTCCTCTGTGAGCTGGCAATCTGTCTGGTGTGGTCAGGAGATGCAGCCCACAGCACCGTGATGATGGGTACAGGGTCACATGGTGGTGTTTGGAGAGCTGCATCATCAGGAAGCAATTAAAGCTGGGGCTTTAATGGGAGTATCCATCAGGTAAAGAGGGGGGAAAGTGTGTCTGCCTGGACAGGTTGCATGGATTCATCTTCTGAGACATCCCAGCTGTGGAATTCCTCCTCTTGGGAGGGAGCTGCCAGTGTTATGGAATCTTCATCCCATGTTAGGGTGGACTCTGCAGCTTCCCACCTCTGCCTCACTCTACAAAGAGGACCCATGGCAGGACCAGACCTGGGGTGCTCAGTCCCTGCAGGACAGGGAGATGCCTTTTGCAAAGCCATCAGTGCTGGATTTGGGGCATTTCTCACCTCGGGTCTCATGTGTGCATTGTTCCTGCCTGCTCCTGGCCAGGCCAGCACCGCAGCTTGACTGGAGGAGGATGATGAGGGAGAGCAGGCCCTGGCTGTGCTGCTGTAAGGTGGCTATGGGACAGCAGAGGATGCTGCAGGGACAGATGAAGGCTCTGGCAATACCTGGAGATGAGCACAGAGGGGTGATGCCTTTGGGGGAGCAGTTCTTATGTTTCTTAGACTGGGGGGGGTGGTATTGGAAGGTGTTTTCATTCATCCTGCCCTTGCTGGTTGTTGGGTGCTGATGAGTCCCAGCACAGTAGGGTTGTTGGAAGCGGTGGTGGCTGCAGCAGAGGTGCTTCATGCTGTAGCTGCTTATGGCTGCAAGGCTGGGTGGAAGGACTGGGGGATGCCTGGGAAGGATGTGGAAACAAAAGGGCAGGAAAAAAAGGCTCATTTTCCATGTCTGGGGGAGGGGAAATGCTCTCCAAGGGCCTGGTGCACAGCTCTGCCTACCAGCTTGCTCTTCCTCCCTGTGTGCCTCAGAGGCAATGCAGCTGGAACAAAGAGGAGCCTTTTCATCCTGCAGCGGCTGCTCCAAAGCAGGCTGCCGAAACCATCTGCACACAGAGCAGCTTCATCTTCCTGCTCCTGAGAGGCCCTGTGTGAAGTGGGGAAGCAGGGGAAGGTGTGTTTTTTGGGGTGTCGAAGGCAGAGAGACATCCCTGGAGCCCAGATATGGGCAAAAACCCCTTCATGTGCCCCAGCTCTGCTCTGGGGACTGACCTGTCCTGCTAAGGAGCTCTCCTGAGCTGTGCCCCACTCCCCAGGGTGAATCTGGGCTGCTGATCCCAACACAAGTCAGCAAGAGTGGTTCATCTGCAGTTGTGGGAGCACCAGCGCTGGCAACATCTAGCACTTTTAGCTATTGTCATTTAGGACAGATAAAGCCCCCCCCTGATTTTAAGGGGAACTATTTGCTGTAGCTGATATGAAGGACAGATGAAGGCTGCAAGCCTGTTTTGAGTGTCTCCTGGTGGTGGGGTCTTGTTTCTGTGCTTGGGAAGGAGAGGAGGAAGGGTTGGTGTGTACCTGGTGCAGAATGGGATTCATTCTATTCCTCGCTAGCTTCCCCTGGGGTGGTTCTGCATCTGGAGTCCATTGCTGGGCCCTCTGCTTATGAATGAGCCTTGTGTACCACAGAAATGCTGACTCTCTCCAAAGCAGCCTCCTGCTCCACACACAGGCCTAAACCATCTGTGCTCGGGTGGTGGTGAGTGATTCGCCATCCCCAGCCCTGACCCTGTGCCTCAGGATGGCCACATCCAAAGTGTTCCAGCTCTGTTCCTCCTGAGTGAGCAGGATTGAGGTTATCCGGATGCAGCCTCATCAAAAACGGCTCGGGAGGCTCCCAGGTTAGTGTTGGGATTGTTTTCTCTTGGCACTGGCTCACTGCTCTGCCTCTTGGTTCAAAGCAACCTCAAAACCCCCTTCCTGCTTCTCCAGATCCTTTGCTTTTTGCCACTGTGATGGTTTTGAGTCTGCAGCAGGAGCCAGAGCTGTTTTCCCTATGTCCAAGGATCCTGCATTGAAGGAGCTCCAGCCACTCACCCACAGGGGTAACCCAGTTACCACTGCATAGAGCTGATTGATGTTCACTTCCAAAGTGCTCCAAAATAGATGATCCTGGTAGTTTTGGGGCTTGGAAATCTGCATGTAGCCAAGGTGGGATTTACCCTCCTGCCTTGTACTGAATTGGTCATGAAGATGCTGTGTGCCACATGTCCTGTGCTGGAAGGAAACACAGGAGATCCTCCTGAGCATTGCAGATTTGATTTCTACATCCTTGGCAGCTGGAAAGTGCTGGTGCTGTGTAGTATTTCCATGCTTGTGATGGGGAGGAGAAACAGCCATGCAAGCTTCCCTTGGGGTGCACAGAGCCCACACGCTATGGACACCTTGTTGGGAAGCTCTGGATTTGCTCCAGTACCTCCATCCATTCTTTCTGGTTATTCTTCCTCCCCTTGATCAAATCCTGTGAAACTAAACTGGCAAATTGCAGTTCTTTCCTTTGCCTCTCTGTATTTTGTGTCATTACTATGCACATTTTGATGCACATGCCTTGTGTACTGAAGGGTTCGAGGAAGGAAAATTAGTCCAAAACAATCACTTGTGATGGAGAACATCTACTGGTTAAATCCCTCCCCGGAAGGCCTTTCATTGTTAATCATGAGCAGGCTTGCAAACAGCATGGATTTGAATTTTTAGCTAGTTTTGATGTTGAAAAACCTGTCTTTGTTTCCAAGCTGTTTAGTTTCTCCTTATTTAACAGTAAGAAAGCTCCTGGTGCTCCGATGCTCACTTTGGATCTTCAAAGACTAACAGGAGCAGAGTTGCGCTCGCAGTTAAGGTATCAAAGCTGTGATGCTGCTTTGATCATGTGAACTGTTGGGAGAAGGGACAACGTGATGGAGCTGTGATGGTGTGAAACTTTGCCCTGGGCAAGGTTGTGTCTTTTGGGGGGGCATCTTTGCAAAATCTTCGGTTCCACCTGCATTTTTGGGTTGCTGAGCTTTGGTGCAGGAGAAGTCCAGGGACCTATTGCTTGTGGGAGAGGGAACCATCTCATGCAGAAGGTCCCTGCAACCCACCCCTGTCTCCCTGCTGCAGCGCTGAGGGGCTGATGGCTGGATCTTCTCCATTGGCTGTCCACACATCCAGGCTGAGCACAGAAAGAGAAAGCCACTTGATCTGCAGGGCACATCTCGAATGGAGCCCAGGGCTCCCAGTTTAGTTGCAAGGCTTTTGAAGTACATTGGCTTCACCCTTTCTCGTTCTTGCTGCTATCAGCCAAAGTGCTTGGGTCAAGGTGTGCTTTGTCACTGAAAAATCCTGCCCTGTCTGGAAGTGTGAGGGGAAAAACTCAAATGGTTTTAAATATAGCATGTTTCAGGTTATTCTTATTTGCCTTTTAATTTTAAGCTCTGCAGGTCTGGGTGTTCCTGCTCCCCTCTGTAATCAAAAAGGGTGAGGAGCTTCCTTTGCTCTGGAGCAACAGGATCCAAACCTCCCACATGGGCACCTGGCTCTGGGGCATGGCCTGACTCTGCTGGAGCCTTTGAGAACACAACAAGAGCTGCTGGTGTTGAGGAACCCCCAAAGAAAATCAGCTTAAAACCAAGAAGCTGCTTCCTTTGGGGAAACATCTGGTGGGTGTGTGTGCGTGCTGCTGAAAAATCACCCTAACAAAGAGCCCAGCTCCCTGCTCTTCCTCCTCTTCCTTTCTACCCTGCTCTGGCTACATCCCTTCTGTGTATGTTGGGAGTGGTGCTAGTGCCTGCCTGAGGCTGTATAAAGGAGATGCTGTGTGTGGAAGCACCTCAGGGGTGTCCCCTTCTAGCACCGCAGCTCCCAACTGTTTGGGGTCCCTCTCTACCCTCCAGCAGCACTTTTTCCTGAGCACGGTGTGGGGTTGCAGCTCCTCTGCATAGGTGAATCATTAGCCGGGTTTTTCCCTGGGAAGTGGCCTGTGTCTGATCCCTGCAGCTGGAAACTCCAGCTGCCTTTTGTTCATCCCAGCGGAGATGCTCACACTCCTGCCTTGCCATGCACCCTAGGCCCACATTTGGGGGCCTGAGTCCCCGTTTTGAGGTTCTCTGCACCCCAATACCCTTGGCTGGGTGCATCCCAGTCCCTTGGGTCTCCAGGTCTGCATCTCCCGGATTTGATGGGGGGGCTTCACACCGTAGTTCCCGAGCTTTGTGCATCCCAATGCTCTGGCTGTGTGTAACCCTTGGCTCCATGTGCTCTGGTTCCCCATCTCGGTGCACCCCATTCCCCATCTCGGTGCACCCATCCCTGTGCCCCCCCGCTCCCCATCTCGGTGCCCCCATCCCCGTGCCCCCGTTCACCATCTCGGTGCACCCATCCCCGTGCCCCCTGTTCCCCATCTCGGTGCACCCATCCCCGTGCACCCCGTTCCCCATCTCGGTGCACCCATCCCCGTGCACCCCGTTCCCCATCTCGGTGCACCCATCCCCGTGCACCCCGTTCCCCATCTTGGTGCCCCCATCCCTGTGCGCCCCAATCTCGGTGCCCCCATCCCCGTGCCCCCCGTTCCCCATCTCGGTGCCCCCATCCCCGTGCCCCCCGTTCCCCATCTCGGTGCACCCATCCCCGTGCCCCCCGTTCCCCATCTCGGTGCCCCCATCCCCGTGCCCCCCGTTCCCCATCTCGGTGCCCCCATCCCCGTGCACCCCGTTCCCCATCTCGGTGCCCCCATCCCCGTGCACCCCGTTCCCCATCTCGGTGCCCCCATCCCCGTGCCCCCCGTTCCCCATCTCGGTGCCCCCATCCCTGTGCACCCCAATCTCAGTGCACCCATCCCCGTGCACCCCGTTCCCCATCTCGGTGCCCCCATCCCCGTGCCCCCTGTTCCCCATCTCGGTGCCCCCATCCCTGTGCACCCCAATCTCAGTGCACCCATCCCCGTGCACCCCGTTCCCTATCTCAGCGCACCCCAATCTCAGTGCCCCCATCCCTGTGCACCCCAATCTCAGTGCACCCATCCCCGTGCACCCCGTTCCCTATCTCAGCGCACCCCAATCTCAGTGCCCCCATCCCTGTGCACCCCAATCTCAGTGCACCCATCCCCGTGCACCCCGTTCCCTATCTCAGCGCACCCCAATCTCAGTGCCCCCATCCCCGTGCCCCCCGTTCCCCATCTCGGTGCACCCATCCCCGTGCCCCCCGTTCCCCATCTCGGTGCACCCATCTCAGTGCACCCCAATCTCAGTGCACCCACCCCCGTGCCCCCCGCTCCCCGGCCCCTCCTCCTCTCCCGGCGGGACCGCGGCAGGAAGCGCTCTCAGCCAATCAGAGCCGGAGCCGCCGCCCCGCAAGCGGCCCGCCCACGGCGGCGCGCGCTCTCCTCTCCCGCCCGTTGGCCGCCGCCTTCCCGGTAAGGACCCGCGGGGCTGGGGGGGGGCGGGGGCAGCGCTGCGGACGTGGCGGGGACCGGAGCCGTTGGGGGGGGGGGGGTTCGGTCCCGGTGGGTCCCAGCCGGGAGCGGGGCCCGCGGGGCAGGGCCCGGCCGCCGGAGCCGCCGCTGCTCCCGCTCCCTCTGCGGCGGGCCCGGGCTGGGCACGCGGCCGTTGTTCCCGGAGGGCGCAATGAATGGAGCTGCCCCCGGGGCTGTGCGGGGGCTCGGGGGTCCCGGCCGTGTCCCCACCGGCTCCCGTCGCCGAGGCCCGTGGGGGTGCAGGGGAGGCGGCATCCCTAAATGCCCCGCTTAACGCTCCCAGGCGTGAGACGGATCCCGGCTCCGGAGGAAGCGGTGGTTCCCCTTTTTGTGTCCCGGAGGAATAACCCGTCCTTTCCACCGCCACGCACTGCACCCCAAATCACTGCCTTGGGACCGGGGTTCGCACACCCCTCTTGTCTACCGCCCCTCTCCCAGCCCCACAGGGTCCTGCTGTGCAAGCGGGGAACTTCTCCTTCCCACCCACAAGTTAAGCTGGGACTAAAAATAGTCTAGAGCAGAGCCGGGCTCTTTGCCGGCACAAACCCCGGGGAGGTGAGGAGCAAACCGAGGGGCTCCCGCAAAAACCGGGCTGGTCCGGGGCTTCTCCCTACACCGGCAGATGCCCTCCTTGCGCTTCCACCGTCTCGGGGGATAATTTGGCAGCTGATAATTGGGGTGTTATAAAAGGGAAGTGTTTTGGCAATAGTAGTTAATATTTAACAGGGTGACTTGTAGTCCTGCTGCAACAGAGGGTTTCATTATCCCAGGGGTTCAGCCATCCTGGTTTTCCATGGGAGCATGTTTGTGAGGTTCGTTAGATCCCAGCTTGTGACAGAAGCTCAGGTCTGGGGCAGAGCCCGTCCCGCAGGGATGGGGAAACCGAGTCATGGAAAGGCCAGAGCCCCATTGAAAGGAGGGTTGGGGACATGGGTGTCCCCTTCCCTGGACTCCTCTGGGATGGTCTGGCAGGACTCACAGATCACGGAACCTGTAAAACGGAATTGGTTTGAGCATCCCCAGGAAAAGGAAAGCGCTCCGAGGTGAGCAGGAGGAGGTGACTCACTCAACGGGCAGCTGAGCACTACCCTGTCACCCTCTCCCACCGCACGTCCCTCTCTTCCCACCCGTCTGGGGCTGGCTCTGGGCTCATCCCCTTGGGAAAAGGTGAGATTCAGGGATATGGCTTGGGAAAAAGAGCTGGGGAATTTGTTTTCCCCAGAGGAACCTCGTGCTCGGGAGGGAAGGAGAGGGCATGCTGGAGCAGAGCTGTGCCTCAGTTTCCCCCTGGGCCTGAGTTCCCCCCCGTGCCTCCATCTCGCCCTGTGCTTCCGTTTCCCCCATGGGACTGAGCCGAGCAGAGCTTCAGGGCTGCTGTTTCCCCACTTAAAGGGGTTTTAAGGATGAAGGAGCCGGTGGCTGAAGTTCCCTCTGCACCCCGGGACACCGGTGCCGTGACACTGATTTATTGCAAGGGGAGCTATTGTGTCAGAACTTGTCGGTGCTAAAGGCAGAGCAGGGGGCACCGGGATGGGATGGGATGGGACACGGCAGTGGTGATGCTGGCTGCAGCTCCTGCTATGAGGGAGGAATGCCGGTCACGAGGGGCCTGGCTTGCTCCAGGCACGGCAGGGAGGGATGCTCGGGAAGCGAGCTACGGTAGCCAGCGGTGCCGGGCAGCTTGCCCTCGCCTCTCCTCACATCCAGCTCCGAGATGCTCTGATTTTATTCCCCTTTTCTCAGGGCAGCCTCATGCCAGGGACTTCCATGTCATGAGTGGGGATGAACCTCGCAGCCCTCTCGCTGTTGGCAGAAACAGGAATCTGCAGACCTCTTTATGTTTAGCTTTTAGTGATTTTGGACCTCGGGAGCGAGTTGCTTCCTCTTGGAGCACAGGGATGTAACAGCCCAGCACTGTGCTTGGAAAGAGAGAAACAAAAGGGGAGGAGAAGCAGCGAGGAGGGGAAGAGGCTCACGTGGCTTCCCCAGGGCACCGGCCAACGCCTCCAGCGCAAGAGCTGCCTCCGGGTCCGTCGGCTTCTTAAACCCTGGGACTTGGCTGGCTCCAGGCTGGAAGCAAACCCCCTCCTGCCTTTCACAACGGGGTGGGTGCTCCGGGTGCTGCTGGCATGGGATCCCCTGCTTGGTGCCGGTCTTCTCCCTTCTCTTTGTCCCTGGTCCCTGGCACCATCTCATTGTTTCCTTCTATTTTTCCTCAGCTCAGGGTACTTGTAATGAGAGAGGAAACCCCGTGAGGACACCCAGGGCTGCGCTCGCTTCTGCTTCCTCTCCCAGTCGTTGCTCGAGCCAAGGATGCTCTGCCCGCTGCTTGCCCTGAGAGCACTGGTGCTCGGCCTGGCAGGTGAGTGGGGCTTGGGAGGCTTAGGGGTTGGTGGGGCCTGCATGTCAGCACCCCAAAGGAGGTGTCCTTCGTGCCACGCTCGTCCTGACAAAGCTGCCTTTGACCCGTGGTCCCCGGTGGCAGCACCCACGAGGTGTTTCTGCTGTTTTTGGGGTCTTACAGTGGGTGTGATGGCTTCTGGTGCACATGGGCCGCCCTCAGAGCAGGGACACCACCTCCTGCATGGCACAGCTGAACAGCAGAGCCAAGGGAGAAGGAAATCCTGAAGGTTTCTGACTCCCCCGGGTCTGTCCCCGTGCACTGCATCTCCTGGTCTCCCAGGCTGCGTCACATCAACCTGGGAGGGATGCTGGGACTGAATCCTTTCGGAACACTCAGCAGTGATTCTGGCCAGGCTGGGTAGTACATCCTAAAACCCACTGGCATTGTCTGTTAGCCGGAGGGATACCTGATGCTCTTGAGTCTAGAGCCAGGCATGCTGCCTGAGCACTCTTCTCCTGCCTGGCTCCTTCCCACAGCTCCTCATCCTTCCCACCTGCTTAAAATGTAATGGCTCATTGCTGCCGTTGTCTCCAGAGAGGTATTTGCCATAGGTAACACCTTTGTTGTGTTCTGCAATAGTTTTGAGGTTGGAACATAAAGCAAATCCTTGGTCTGAGGGGAGCTTTTTTGTGGTGAATGAAGTGCCCTGGGTCTGCTTTAGAGGATGTTTCTGCTTGCTACCAATGGGCACCCCAGGACCAGCTCCAGGTGTGGAGGGTCCAGCAGCCCTGGCATGGTTGGCGTTGCTCCCTGATACAATGGCAGGGTTGGTGTCCTGCCATGGCTTGGCACCGTGGTTGTTGGCATTGTGCTGTGGCGCTGGGATGAGGTTGGCATCGTGCTGTGGCGCTGGGATGAGGTTGGCATCGTGCTGTGGCACTGGGATGAGGTTGGCATCGTGCTGTGGCACTGGGATGAGGTTGGCATTGTGCTGGAGCACTGGTGCCATCTAGAGCCTTCCAGCCTGGCCATGGTGCTGCCCGGAGCTGCTGGCTCATCCTGGGGACATGGGGCTGTGTCCCCACTGCTGTCACCCACCTGCGTCCTCTACCCATGGGAAGAAACCAAGCTGCTTGTCCTGGTGGGGTACAGGTTGAGGTGCCCATGGTCACAGCTGAGATGCCACCTACCCCTGGGTCCCTTCCATGGGCATCACTTGATTTCCTTTGATGTTACTGAGATGGAGAGTTAAGGAGGTGCTTCTGCAGGGTCTCACCACCACATGCTTTTGCCCTTACCACCCTCCTGCAGGTGCCATTGAGATCCAGGTCCCGGATGAGCCCGTGGTGGCTCTTTTCGGCCAAGACGCCACCCTGCACTGCTCCTTCTCTCCCGAGGCCAACTTCAGCCTCAACGACCTGAGCCTCATCTGGCAGCTGACGGACACCAAGCGCTTGGTCCACAGCTTCTCTGGTGGTCGGGACCAGCTGGAAGACCAGGGTGGGGGCTACGCCAACCGTACAGCCCTGTTCTATGACCAGCTGGCCCAGGGCAACGTCTCGCTGCTGCTCCGGCGTGTGGAGATCTCGGATGAGGGCAGCTTCACCTGCTTTGTCCGGGTCCAGGACCACAACAGCGCGGCTGTGACGCTGCAGGTGGCAGGTGAGGGATGGAGAGTTGGGGTGTCCCTACATGTCTGCCCAAAAAGAGGGGTTCTCCATCATGCTTTGTTCCTCTCTCGAGTCTCTTTCTCTCTCCGCCTTGCCATGGTCTCCTCATGAAGTCAGGTCTCTGTTAGAGACCAGCGAGCTGCATTGATGCTGGAGAGTGACTCCTCGTCAGGGACGGTAGTGATAGGACAAGGGGTGCTGGGTTCAAACTGAAACAGGGGAAGTTCAGCTTAGATATAAAGCAGAAGTTCTTTACTATGAGGGTGCTGAGGCACTGGCACAGGGTGCCCAGAGAAGCTGTTGCTGCTCCATCCCTGGCAATGTTCAAGGCCAGGCTGGACATGGTCCAGTGTGAGGTGTCCCTGCCCATGGCAGGGGGCTGGAACTGGATGATCTTAAGGTCCTTTCTAACCCAAACCAGTCTATGCTTCTATAATCTCCCCGAAATATTGCTGGTGGGGGCCGCAGTCCCTTCCCTGCAGTAATGTAGAGGCTCTTACAGAAACAGGGCCATGAACCAAAGCTGGGGAGGCTTCATCTGGTTGGTTCTGTCAGCTGGAAGAGTCTGTCCTTGCCCAGCCTCATTGGGTTCCTTATGATCCGGATCCTTTGCTCATGCTGGCTGCCCTCTTCCTTGCAGCTCCCTACTCCAAGCCCCATATGAACCTGGAGCCTAACAAGCACTTGAAGCCAGGAGATCTGGCAGCGGTGACTTGCCACGCTTCCCGTGGCTACCCTGAGGCCCACGTCCTCTGGCAGGACAGCCAGGGCAGCAGCATCACAGAGAACATCACCACGTCCCAGGTGGCCAATGAAGAAGGTCTCTTTGACGTGCACAGCATGCTCCAGGTGCTGGTGGAGCCCAGCAGCACCTACTCCTGTGTGGTGCGGAACCCGGTGCTGCAGCAGGAGACCCAAGCTTCTGTCACCATCACAGGTGAGCCTGTGGGGCCCAAACTGGGGAAGGGAAGTGAAGGGCACTGCCTGAAGATTGTGGTGGCACTGGGATCCCTACTGGGGTTGCTGCCCTGTATCTCTGCTCATCCTCTCTCCCCGTGGACTTGCAAGGGTGACTTGAGGCTGTGCTGTCCTCCCTGTCACCCCAGGCCAGCGTCCCAGCTAGAGTGAGCATCCTTATTTCTTAGTCTCTCACTTTGCTAGTTGGCCCATCCCAGTCTAAGCCAGCACAGGGCACGGTGCTTGTCTTCTCCTTAGCAATGCTAAGGATGCTCTGGGGTTTGGAGTTCTCCATCCCAGCTGCAGGAATCCTGCTTCAAAAATACAGGCTGCAGAAGTTCATTGGGCACCTTGTCCATTCTAGTTCTGCTCTCCTGGATGCCTTTGGAACCTCGTGTGCTCCTCAGCACTAATTGCTCTTTCATTACCCTCAGTACAGCACTGGGTTGGGAAGGTGGGTCCCTGGTGGAGCATTAATGTTTTGGCTGGATGCAGCAAACTCTTGCAGGGAAACCTGTGTGGATGCTGCTGGCTGGGGAGAGGGGGTGGCTTTTGTATGGCCTCATGAGCAAATGGTCAGCCTTGGGGTGACATCTGTGGAGGGGCAGGGTTTGTGGCAAGACTTCATTTGAAGGAGCACTGTTATAGGGAAAAAATGGAATTCTGGTTCTCCAGGAGATAGCCCCAAGTCCTGGCGGTCCCTGCCAGGCTGTCCTGGATGCTGGGGAAGGTGTCCCCATCCTTCCTGGGCTAAGATGAGAGGGGAAAGGGAGCAGGTGCTGCATCATCTGATGCTTCTTTGGAGCTCCCCAGCAAGTGAAAGCTCAGCCTGCCTTTTGAATTCATTATGTGCAATGACTTAAAAGTTAATGAAGTATTTTAACGAGTGCCTCAACCTGCTATTTCTGCTCATCCAGACCTGCTGGGGGAGGCCTTAATCAGAGGCACCAATGGTTTTACTTCCAAAACCACCTCTTGTTCCACCAACTCCTTCCATAGGGATGTCCCCTGGGCACGCATCCCCCCTGTAGGAGCACTGCTCACTGTGGTGGTATCTCCCTCTCCTCCCCCTGCAAGGCCAACACCTCGCCTTCCCTGCCGTGGCTCTCTGGGTGACAGTGGGACTTGCCATTTGCGTCGTGGGGCTGCTCATCGTCCTGGCCTACGTGTGCCAGAAGAAGATCCGCGAGAGCTGTGAGGAAGAGGAGGAAAACGCAGGTAATGTGGTGGTTTCCCCCCCTGGAAAAGGGATGAGGTTTGCAGAGGGCCATGGATGGGGGGAGCCGGGGCAAATTTTAACCAGCGTGGGTTTGCCTTGGTGGTGGCGTCTGTTAGAGGATGAAGAGATGCTCGGAGCTGCTGGGGTCAGTGGGCACCAGCAGATCTGTACCTGTGCTGGCTGCGTGCATTGCTCCAGGCAGCTCTTTCAAACATACACTGGGTTTTCCTCCCCCCCCCACTCCCCCTCCCCAGTGAAAGTGCTCCCTACTTTTCCTTCTCCCCCTTTCACCTCCCTACTCCGAGCATCCTCTGCATGTCGGGTACCCACAACTGGGTGTGCGTGGAGCATCTCCTCTTGAGAAGGTGCTTTTAGCGCTTGCCACCATGGAAACGCCGAGTGCTTTGACACTGAAATGGCATGAGAGAGATGCTCCACGCTCTGGTTTTCTGCATCCTCCTCTTTGGTGGCTTGGGGTATTTTTGGGCTTTTTTATTATCATGGGGACGTGTTTGCACAAAAGAGGGAGGTTTTATTGCTGTAAAAAGCTGCCGTGCTCTGAAATGGCTGCAGAAGCAGCTTTCCTGGTGTTCCCATTTGTTTCCCCTTGCTGCCTCCCGAGGCGTTTGCTCTGCCAGAGCCTTTCCCTGCCAGCTCCATGCTGCAGGGCTGGGACCTGCAGCCTTCCCCCCCAGGGGTTCCTGTCTCGCTCCTCCTCTCTCTGTCTTGTGCCCATATCCCCTGATGCTTGGCTGTGGGGTCCCCCCAGCAGTGGGGACCAAGAGAGTTTTATCCTGGGAATGGTCTGCAGGAGATACATATATAAAATAATATATATTTTTCCCCCTCTAACAGAGTGTTTTCCCCTTGGCCAGGGGATTTGCAGTGCTGTGATGCTCAGCTGTGGCCCCGGGCCAGCTGACCTCAGCTCTTTACCATCAAGACACAGCTCCCAGCTCGTGATGTGTTGCACTGATGGCTGCATGCCCATAGCAATAACCTTTTGCTGTCACTCTTGGTCAGCCAGAACCCAGGCAGGGCCCCTGCCTGTGGGCCTGGCAGCCACGGGAGGCAGGAGCAGTGATTTTTGCTGGGCTTTCTGGCACGGTGGCAGATCTTACCCATGGGGTGCAGAGCTCCTGGGCTCCCAGACAGGGTGGCAGCTGGTGGGTGTGAAGGGGATGCTCATCCCTCAGTGCTGATGGGGTGTCCCGGAGGCGTTGGGGGATCCGTGGTCTCCCTGCTAAGCCCCTTGCCAAGCACTGCTCCAGATGGTGGCTGTGCTATAAATAGGGAGGCGAGCGGCTGCGCTGCATCACCCGGAGCTGTGGCTTTTCCTGCTTTGCTTGTAGGGGATGGGCCAGGCCAGCCCAGCCTTGTGCTGCAGGAATCCCCACCGTGGGGTGCTGGGTGCAGGTGGGTGCCACTCACCTCCTCCATGAGCATCACCAGTGGCTCCGCAGCACCTGCTCCTGAGCAGACCTTGGGATATGGGGTGATCATGGGTGGCTCTGAGCACTGGGGATGGCAGCGATACAAGGGACACCCACCAGAGCTAGTTCAGGGAGCTGGGGTGGAGCTTCACACTCTCTGGCTTGCTCTTTTGCAGGGACGGAGGAGCAGGATGAGGAGGGGGGAGAACCCAAGACAGGTGGGTGCATGATGCTTATCATATACATGTGCTTGTGCCACCGCGGTGTGCTTTACATCCTCCATCTGTGCTCAGCCCCCTGTGCTCGCCCGCTCCCCAGTGCACCACCCTATCTCTAAAGAGTAGAGTGCTTGTGATGCTCTGCTGTCATCAAACAGGTGAATTATGTGCCCAGTGATTGCCTTTATCTGCTTGTACAGGAGCCCGCTTGCGATGCTGGCTCCTTCCTGCCGGTGAGATTTAGGGACCAGGGTTGGTTTGCAGTGGAAATCGGCAATTAGTGGGGTGGGTTGCCCAAAACAGGGCTCTTGGTTGTTTCCTCCTTGACTGACCAAGTGCTAATCTGCTTTTTGCAGCTTTGCAGCTCCTGAAGAGCACAGAGATCAAAGAGGGTGAGTGCATTTGCCAGGCAACAGCGTAGGACCATGAGCTGGCTCATGATGAGGGTTTCTTCCTCAGAGCACTGGAGGTGATCTAAGTGGAAAGCATCTATTGCGTCTCCATCATCCATCATTGGATTCTGGGGGGGTGGGGTGTGTGTGTGTCTTAATTTGTTCATATTTATTTCATTTTCTCCCCCAGTTCTCAATCAGATTTTCTTAGATCAGTTATTTCCCATCACCCATTTCCATTCCAGTTAGGGCTGCACTTGCCCTGGCCACCACTCGCATCTCCCAGCAGTGATGGAGTGATGCAGTTGATGGCTTTGACATGGTGTTTCTTCTCTTATCCTTCCTTTTCTTGGACACTGGTGGGGGGCAGGAAAAGCCTCCTGCCACCAGCCTGGGTCATTGTGAGGAATCTGGGTCTGTCTCTGAGTGTTGCCAAGAGGAGAGGAAGGGATGGAGTTGGTCCTCACATTGCGTGAGCTGCATCCCTCCCCATGCAGAATTCCCCAGCAGGAGCCTGATGCTGAATTCCTGATGGGAATTCGTGGGAAGTGGAGCCCCAGCTCCTGGTTTTACCTTTGAGGACCTTTTTCCAACATCCTGGCTCGGTGCTGCCACCAGCCCATCATGCACCCCAGCCCTGTGACGCACTCCAGTGTGTTCCATGCTTGCTCAGCCCTGCTCATCCTCATTCCAAGATCTCAATCTTTTAATTCATTCCCTTTCCTATTAGAGGCAGAGCTTGGCCTCTGCTGCCACTCTTCTCTGCTCCTTTAACCCTCCTTCCTCTTTTATTAACAGCCCTGGTTTTCCTCTCATGCCATTTCTGCCTCCCCACCAGTAAGTTAATAAAAGCCTTTTCTCCCTTCCTCTTCCCACCTTTACTGAAGCATCAGCCAGCTCCACTTCTCCTCCTTTTTTTCCTCTTCCCTGCCCTTATCTCCCTCTCCAGACCACGCTCAGCTTCACAGCCACAGTGGGCCCTGTTTCCTTAACCCCATGTCAAAGACACCTGCTTGCACCTCAACCACTTTTACAGGAGCAATAAAGCTCGGATAATGACATCTCCCAGGGTTTGCCAGCCGGTGGGGGGGGGGATTGTCTATCCAGGAGGATGGATGGAGGGATAAAAACACACCTACATGTGCCTAGGGTGATTTACCTGGGGCTGGCATCAGCCCTGGGGGTGGGGATCCCAGTTTTCCAGAGCCAGGACAGGCCAGGGCAGTTATCAGCTGGATGAGCTCATTCACTTGGGCCTGGGAATGACTCTTTGTTAACGTCTTTGCACGTTTTCATTCAGTCTTTTCTTTTTCTCCCCAGATAATGAGCAAGAAATCGACTGATGGGAGCTGGGACGCCCCCAGGCAGCGCCCTGTGCCCTGCACCAGCTGCAGTGGGGATGAGCTCCAGGTCCCCTGGCAAGGGCACGGAGCTGCTGCCACCCCTCATCCTGAGCCCCGTCACCCTCCTCTGTCCCCAGTCTTGTCTTTGGGGTGCCCTGGGGCTGGTTGAATCTCTCTATCCCCAGTGAGCCCCCAGGGCTGGCGCATCCTTCCCAGGGATGATGTGGGGTGGAGGCTCTTCCCTGTCCATCTGTCCATCCCCACGTGGGGCCGAGAGCAACCAGGGTTGACCATTCCCCCCCGCTCCCCATCACCCTCTGTTCCTGCTCCTGCGTGGCTGCAGCTGAGCCAGCCACCTTCCAGGTGCCTTCCAGGGCAAACTTTGCTGCCCTTTCTAAGCCCAGAGGCCTTGAGAGTGGTGATGGGCTCAGTGAGCAACACACGGAGCCCTGGAGGCTCCGGGAAGATGGATGGGGCGTGCAGGACTCCCAGGCGTGGTGGGGCAGAGCTGGTGCTCTTGTCCCCGATGGAGGTACCACTCTGGGGATGTGTGGGGATGACTTTTGTCCCCTTGCACCACTGTGGTTCCCACTGGACTTTCATTTCTGCCTTAAATGCAAAGTGCCCTCGGGGCGGTTACCTCCTGCCTTGAATTATCCCAGGTGACAAAAGGCAGGGTTGGGGGGGGACCTGCTGGCCGGGTGAAGCCCCCCTGGCCTCCCCATGGTGACAGTGCTGCTTTGGGGGCTGAAGCACTGGTGAGGACAAACCCAGCTGGTGCATGGGGCTGAGCATGGGATTGGGGGGCATTGCCCCAGGACGTGTCTGGGGGTCCTCCCACTGCTGCTGGGTACCTGGGGCATCCAAGCTGCCAGGGTGACCGAGGTGGCATGGCCCTGGTCCTGCTCCGGGGGTGAAGTCCCTCGAGGACTCTTGTGCTGGGTTTTGGTTTTATTTAAAATCCAGGATCTGAAGGGGAATTTTGTGCCTTGACAAATAAATGGGGGGGGGGGGGGCTTGGTTTGGACAATGATTTCCAGCTCACCATGGTCTAAGAAGGGTTAAAAAGATCCATTGAAGCAACTGCACAAAACCAGGTGAAAAAGAGTTGAGTTTTCTCAGTCATCTGATTCTGTTCTGTCCCAAATTCACAGAAAAGAAACGAGTTAATTCCACTTATTCCTGAATAGAGTTTAACCCTGGATTTGTCCCTGAGGCTGTTAATGGCACTGGGGGATCTGGGCTCAAAAAAGGCTCTAGGGAGCCTTATTGCAGCCCCAGTGCCTAAAGGGGCTACAAGAAACCTGGAGAGGGGCTTGGGACAAGGGCCTGTAGGGACAGGCCAAGGGCAATGGCTTGAACCTGCCAGAGGGGAGACTGAGATGAGCTCTTAGGCAGAAGCTCTTCCCTGTGAGGGTGCTGAGGCGCTGGCACAGGGTGCCCAGAGAAGCTGTGGCTGCCCCATCCCTGGCAGTGCTCAAGGGCAGGTTGGACACAGGGGCTTGGAGCAAGCTGCTCGAGTGGAAGGGGTCCATGGGTTGGAACTGAATGAGCTTTAAGGTCCTTCCAACCCAAACCCTTATGTCCCCCTTTCAGCCCTGTCCTTTTGTCCCCTGCTGCCACCACAGCCCTTACGCTGCCCTCATCCATCACTCAGCACAGGGAGACAGCCACTCCAGTGCTGGATTGCTGCCTGCCTGCATCATGTGCTATAGAAGAACTGTTTCTAAAAGCAAAGAAGGGGGAAATGAGCTGGTGTCTTAGGAAGGGGATGATGGTGGGTTCATTTAGGGGGGTTGAGCTACAGCCTGCATTCAGAGCTGGTGCAGTTTTCAACCCGGTGCTCAGCAGCAGCATTAATATTAGCATCGAGGCGCTGGGCTGAGGATGAAATCATCATCCCCAGCTCCTTGGTGCGTGGTGGGGTGAGTTGTCCCCACATCCAGGGCATCTTTAAAGGTGTTGAGTTGGTGCCAGCATCACTGGGGATGTCTCCTCCAGCTGGAAGGTTTGGGGGCATCTCTTTGGGTCTGGGCCATGCAGGGAAGGGAGATCTTGAGGGTGGCGAGGGAGAAAAATCACCGTTGAAGCTGTGGCAGCTTAGGGGAAGTACTGCTTAGGTGGCTCAGGATGATGGGCCAGCCCAAGCTGTGCTTCTGCTTGGGGCTGAGCCCCTCACCGCTGTCCCTGGGAGGAGGCGCTGGGCTTTGGCATGGGGTAAAGCACCCCAGGAGGAGCTCAGTTGTCCCCTTGTCCCCAGGTGCCATCCTGCTTTTGGAGCTGTCAGGATGGTGGGTCTTTTTTGGGGGGGAGGAAACTATCCGGCCTCTTGGTCAAGGTTTCAATGCAACACACTGGTGTGTGGGTGCCGTGCATGAGAGCCAGGCAGGGACAAGGCTGGTCAGCCACGACGCAGGCGTTTTCCCATTCCCAACATCCTGCTCCCGCTGCTCCAGGGTAACGGCAAACGGGGCAGGCATGGAAGCGGGATTCAACGGGGATGCAAACCCAGCCCTGGGAGCTGCCTGGAGCTCAGCTCGCTCGTGTTTGCTCTCCTCTCTTGGGAGCAGGCGAGGCTGCGAGTTCATCACGCACCCTCCGTGTGTAAAAAGCCCAACCACGCAGTCCCGTTTGGCAGCTGACTGCAGGCTGCTGGGCCAGGCTGTCCCCAGCGCCCATCCATGCAGCTCCCTTCTCCCCGTCAATAAACTGATCCCTGCTCCTTCCCGTGACCTCATTGCAGAGAGAGGGGAGGATGGAGATGCTGAGCCTGGTGGCTGCCTTCCCCTGAGCACCTTAGGGGCATGGGACGGGGTGGAGGATGCCCCTGCGGTGCCGGGGCAGGGTTGCTGCCTGTCCCTGTTGTCCCCTCGTCCTGACCCAGTTCACAGATGGGCCTGTGTCCCCACGGGGATGCTCTGAAAACCCAGGGTTATTTCCATGGGGTGATGTGCCTTCCATCAGGATGAGCAGGATCCAGCTCCTGCGCTGCACCCAAACAGCCAATTCGTAAAACCCATATTGCCAGGCCAGACCTGACTTCAGCTCAGAGCAGCCTGGCTCTGATTTAAGGATGCTCTAAATGTAATATGTGGCCTTCGCAGGAAAAGCAGAGCCCAGAAGCTGCCCCTGGGCTGCATCTTCCTGCACTCTGCTGCTGAAAGCAAGGAGCAAAGCCCCAAGGCCAGGGCTGTGAGACTGGGAGGAGAGGGATTTTAGCATCGCTTTCTACCTCTGCTGGTGGCTTTTCCTGGGAAGCAGCATTCCCTCCCCACAGTTTGGTCTAACATCCAGGATTTGTGTTTCCTCCCAGTGCAACAACTGGGATGGAGAAACCACCCAGCTCCGCGCCAGCGATTTGCTTTCCACGCACCAATGCAAAACGCTGGCACACTCAAAAGCTCCATTTCAGCCACTAAAAGGTCTTGAGAAGCTCCCCACTTGTGCCATCAGTCCCGGTACCCCGGTCCTTTTGATGGAGAATGAAGCAGCTCCACGGTATTCCCAAGGGAGCTGCGTGGAATGGTCACTTTCTCCTCTCAGGACCCATTTTTCAGAGCCCAATCCCAAGCAGGTTATTCCCAGCAGCTGCAATGCATCCGGTCCCTCTGAGGCAGCCTTAACTGAGGGGTTGAGAGACGTTTTAATTACAGATTTGTCTGCCCTGCATGATTTATCCCGGGTAACTCCAGCAATTTATCCATCAGCAGTTAGAAGGGCTCTGAAGCAGAAAGCAAGC